TCCCCTGCCGGCCTCCCCAGACCTCGGCCTTCCCGCCCGCCGCCCGGAGCCGGCGCTCACCAGAAGGGCAGGATGACCAGGCGGGTGACGATGAAGACGGCGGCGAAGACGATGAAGATGTTGTTGCAGGTGTTCCTCCAGCCGGCGTAGTTGAACATCTTGGCGGACTGCGGGGACACACAGGGACATGGGGCGGGCTGGGCCAGGCCGGGGCCGCCCGCCCGGCGGGGACGTTACCTCCAGCAGGTAGTCGGCGGAGTCGTGCAGGGCCATGATGAGCGTCCCCGCACGGATGTAGTTGGCGAACCAGGAGAAGCTGATGAGGATGATGGTGGCCACGTGGTGGATGATCTGCTCCTTGAAGTCCTGCGCGCGGGACGGGGGGACGGTGCTGCAGCAGCCCTTCTCTGTCCCGCAGCGCCCTGCAGCACCTCTTGTCCCCAAATCCCCCCTTTGCCTTAAATTGTGGCCAGGCAGCCCCCAAGGCCCCCGCTGCCCACCTTGCGCTTGACGTCGGAGGCGATGCTGAAGAGCAGGGACCAGTAGAAGGAGAGTTCAATGATGTAGTACCAGTACTGGGAGGGCAGCATGCTCTGCAAGCAAGGGACACGCTGGGGACACGGGCCGGGCCTCGCGGGGGGACAATCCCCCTCCCCAGGCACCAGGCAGAGCTGGGCAGGCCCTGGAAGGTGGCCGGGAGGAGGGACAAGGCGCAGGGCTCACCTGGATGGGGTAGCCCGCCCACACCTGGCGCAGGTCGTAGAACCAGGGCTTCTGCAGGACATAGGGACACGGGGGGACGTGAGCGGGGCCACGGCACCGCGGGCCGGGTGCGGGGGGAACGGTACTTACATCTACGATGACAGCCATGCCAGCAATGAAAGCAATAAGGTAAAACGTGAATCGCCAACTGGAAAGAGGAAGCAGACGGCTCTGAGACGGGCCCCACGCGAGGGGGGACAAGGACGGCCCCCAGCCCCCACTCCTGGCCAAGCCCAGGCCCCCAGCAGCGCCCGCGGGGCGGCAGCGACACCGGCGCGGGGACGGGCCCGCGGGGCTCAC